AGAAGTCGTATGATCATTGAGTTGACTCGGAGGGACTGGCGGTTGCGTTGAGAGCTTGGTGGTAGGAAGCCTACGCATTTCCTAGTAGATGCCACCACGCTGCAGCGCTCTTCTCAGCTCGGCCCTCGGACAGTCCCGTAACGGCCTGACAGACCTGTCACGGCCTGGGACATGCCGAAGCAGACGGCACGCGTTCGAAACAACAAGGATGGCATTCTGCAGCCGCCTCGCTTCATGCCATTGACGACACGGACGCCAGAAGACGATTTGCTTGACCTCGACATGGACAAAGCACGAAGGCCATCTGCCGAGCCCGGACAGTCCCGGGTCGTCGGCCACGCCCCAGGCGCCGAAGCCTCGGTCGCGTGCCGGCACTGGCGGGCCACACAGGCAGTAGGTTGCACAGCCGAGAGAGGACCAAATAAAGTCGACGACCCCCGTGGAGGGCCGAAGCGCGCCTCCCCCACCTGTCTCTGCTCGTCTCATCCCCCCCGTACATCGCAGCAGCAGCAGCAGCAGCAGCAGCACGACGCAGAGATTGAAACGACAGATCGGCGCCGTTGTGCAGAATTAGCAAACCCACGACACATCGGTCCCCGGCCGTGACACACCCATCCTGCCAGCCAAGACTTCGTTCTCGTCCACAAGAAAAACTCATCAGGTCAGACTCGCCAAGGTCACTCGACAGAACGCAGTCACTCGACAGAACGCGAGTCACTGGTTGATAATCGAGTGGTTCGATTGGTCCGCTTGAGCGTGCCGAAGTCGCACCACCATCACCCCACAGCGGCTGTTTACTGCACCCCCTCTGCCCGGGCCACCCGCTGTGCGAACCCCTTCCAGGCCCAGCAACCCCCTGAACGCGCCCCGTGGAGGCCCTCTTGAGGGAGTTCCTAACTCCCTGTCTTGGCTTCAGGGTTAGGATAACGTCTCGACCTCGGGAAGTTTTATTTTAGTGACTTAATGTACCTAAATTTTTTTGGGTTTCTTTCTCTAGGTTTGGTTTTTTTTTGGCCCTTC